GAAGATCTCATTGCAGTGCCGACACCGGAATACCAGACGGGACAGATGGTAGCGTCTCAAATGTTTGCTGAGGTCCCCGTGCCTTTTGTAGAATTTTGGCACTGGGGCACAGATGCGGCAGTGGACTTCGTCTGTTATTGGGACGTCCAGGGGGTAGCTGGTGAGCGATTCCTCCATTCTTCTTCTTGTTGGTCCGGAAGATTTGATCACGCAGCGTGTTTAAGGCATACTAGGGGAGGCGGGTCGTGTAGTGGCACTTCGGCCATGATTTTCGGGGGTCGAATGCATTTCTACCGTAGGAAGAGACGAGGTCTCTATATACGTCGTCCATGCAAAATACCTCGTTCCTACGCTGGAAGACCTGCTTTGTCAGCCGCAGTAGTTTTTCAGCGTCGCTAGGTAGCCCAACGGTGCCGAGCTGGATCCGGTCGTGGGCCTCCGGAAATGGATAGTTTATGGAGGCCCCTCTTGGGTGTGTGGTACGGGTTATTAGCCGTAGGGTGGCAATTAGGTTTTTGGAGTCCTCCAGGCGGGTGAGCTGCATGGACGACTCTATTACATCGTACAAGTTTTTGGTGGGTGTGATGGGCCTGGATTTTCGTAGGATTCGATTAACACCGAATTTCGTAGCCTACTTTTGGGCACCCTTTAGGCCGGAACCATCTGTGGCAAATAAAGTTTCCTCCGCCAGTATAATGCTACACTGACGAAGGACATTAAGTTTTCTTTGTCGGTGTTTAGGCGTTTTTAAGTGGATTTGATCTCGGCCGCTATGTAAGTATTTGCGGCCGAGATTTGTGTTGCTCCCGGGAACTTGATGTTTGACAATCTCTTGAAGCGTATCAGCGGTGCCTGCCATCGCAGGGCTGGAATGCCCAAACCTCCGTCGCGAACGGCGGCATCGAACATTGTAATGCTGGTGTCATGTGGAAGCGCCAGCCATTTGCGGACCGCATGTCGTGTTGGGCGGTCCAATCGTCGCAATGTCCCGATGTTCACTACCGTCA